AAAATTTACATTAGCTTTATTTGCAGCTTCTATAAATTTATAAAATAAACATCATAAAACTTAACAAATAAGATAATATTACCGGGTTTTCGTGATACGTAAAAATCATTGAGATTTTGTCATTGTAACACTCTGATATGCTTTGAGTATTATATAACTTTTAACCCATTGAAACATGCATGAATCTCGTAGTTCCCTAAAATAATCTTAATTCTTTTATCAATTGGCTTAATTGAACAATGATTAAATTTAATTGATGACAATAGCACCATATAAAAGCTATAATTAAGGCCTCGTTTTAAAATCAACGTCTGGAAACAATTGATCATCTCAATCATCTTTGAAGCACCATCATAGCTTTGCCCTACTAAGAATTAGAGGGTTTGTCTATTGTATATTTTTAATATCAAGCCCATTCGTGTTTCCATAATATATATCTATTCATCTTTCAATCGGTTTAGCTCTTTCGAAATTGTCTATCTTAATAACAAAACTATTGCTCCTGATTTCGAAACATCATATGTACAATCAGCTATAATGAAAACCTACTGTTAGATTCAATTTCTTTTTGAATTTTTTATAGCCATATTTTTCACCGTTTTAAAAAACATACTTATATTTTTATATGATAAAAGATTGAAATAAAGTTTACCTTTCGTTTTTTTATCCCTTCTGTTTTCTTCATTTTTATCCCTTCTTTTTTCTTCATTTTTATGTATATTAAGTTTGTAAACAGATTCAGAATCTGTGATATGTTTAATAAGACTGTTGCGTTGTTCTAATTTCTTAATCTTATTATATATTTTTATAATCTAATTTTTTGTTATTTGTTATAATCTAATTTTATTTTATAAACGGCGTAACCTTACTTTTTTATATATTATTTTACTTTTTTGTATTTCGTTTTATATTCTAATTTATATTTTAGAAAAGGTATATATACCTTAAGAAAAGAAAAAGAAATTAGTTAATAAAATATATTTTTACAGACTCGAACCTCGCACCATATCGTCTCCAACCATATTCTTTGCATGGTGCCCCGGGTGGTGGACTAGAAAAAGATGACTACCTAATCTGCTGAGATGACCATCTAATCTATGACGATTGCTTAATCCATTGAGATGACTCTATTTATATGACTACCTATTGTGACGATTGTTTAATCCATTGAGATGACTCTATTTAGACTACCTATTGTGACGATTGTTTAATCCATTGAGATGACTCTATTTATATGACTACCTATTGTGTTGATTGCTTAACCTATGGAGATGACTACCTATTATGACTCTACCTTGTGCTTAACCTATGGAGATGACTACCTATTATGACTCTACCTTGTGCTTAACCTATGGAGATGACTACCTATTATGACTACCTTATCTATTGTGATGTTATGACTACCTTATCTATTGTGACTACCTAAACTACTGAGATGACCAAGAATCAAACCTTAGTACGTTCTTTCATGCAAAAAGCTTCTTTCTTTATGGTGTCCCGGCTCTGGATGTTGGACTGGAATATAATAGCCAGCACCTAACCTAATGTGACAACCTAGGAAGAACTGATATGGAAGTTGAACGATAGGTTATGAATTCTATTTTGTGAGACCAATGATGGTTACTTATTATTCTAATCCACGTAAGAAGTATTATAAATTAAAATTTTATGCCAGGATAAAGGCATGTTATAAATTTTTAAAATTACTAAAATGTAAAATCATAATGGATAATATTGATATTTTTTGATTTCTTGAATGATGACCAATTGTTGTAAATTAACATAAACCTAAAGATGAATTCTTAAATATAATTAAAAATATTAAAAATCCTAAACAAGAAGATAAAACTTAATTTTAAATATGTTAAAATGTAATTTTTAAATCACATGATTGATTCAAATAACCCTTATAAGTAATACTTAATATGATAAAAAGTTTTTGAAATTAATGAAGACAAAAAGTTATGTAAAAAAAACATTCATTTTAGAAAAATATATTTAAATTATATGGTGAATTTTCAAAACATCTTATGAAGAATTTTTTTTTTTTTTGAATTAAAATTAGGGTGTGAAATTTAAATTTTTTATTTAAAGAGAGGGAAATGTGAATATTTTATTTGCATATTTTAACCTCGGAGATTGAAAATAAACAAAAATAAATTAAATACTAAAACGCAAAAATTAATTAAACGCTAAAACGCGAAATAATAAAATTTATTAAAACGCGAAAAATTAAAACGCTAAAAATATAACAATCTTATTGATTTATCATTCTTCACTTATTTTAATATTTTGATGAACTATTAATTCTTATTATTCGCGACTTACTGATGATTATGACGATTTTAAAAAAATTGCGATTTAAACGAACCAACGTGCAAAATCAAACCAACGATTGGGACAAGCCAACGTTATGATGATTTGTGATACAACTTGATTACCAAAACGATTAACCACTTGGACAACAAACTCTCTGTGTCTTCTCCGATGAAATTATCAGAAGAGGGAGAATGTTGCGTTATTCTAATTTCTTAATCTTATTATATATTTTTATAATCTAATTTTTTGTTATTTGTTATAATCTAATTTTATTTTATAAACGGCGTAACCTTACTTTTTTATATATTATTTTACTTTTTTGTATTTCGTTTTATATTCTAATTTATATTTTAGAAAAGGTATATATACCTTAAGAAAAGAAAAAGAAATTAGTTAATAAAATATATTTTTACTGACTCGAACCTCGCACCATATCGTCTCCATCCATATTCTTTGCAAAGACCTATAATTTTGCTTGTTGCATGTTCCCCCAAGAATGCTTGGTTATGAGTAATCAAATAACCAAGATATAGTATTATTTTTGTGATTGAGCAATCATTATTAACACATGTTTTGAAGGCATTAGATATAATATAGAATTTTTTTTATTAGAAGTTTTAAATAATCAGACATCATACTGTGAAGATTCATGTACAATATATTGTGGCCTCTATATTACCATTTATCCATGCCTTCATATAATGTAAATTAAATTTAAAAATTAAAAAAATTTTTTTTTTTTAATGTACCTCCTTTAAAATTTTAAGAAGCAGTTGCTTCGTATCCCCACCGTTGTAGGGGCCACTGCAATAAAAGATATAATATCATCTTCTGGCCTAATCAATTATGATAATGACCTCAACTAGCTTCCCATGCATTGAAGATGTTCTCGTCATACATATAACTTAGTTACAACACAAGATGCCAACAAAATACTTTTAAACAATGGGGAGTATAAGAAAGGTATAACTTAACTATATCTAAATGTCATTGTTTATGGAACTAACAAAACAAATCTGGGTCACCAGCCAAATTAATTAAGAAGAGATTACATTCTCAACTGCCGTATCCCGTTATAACAAAATGGGGTTACTTTTATAAATCTCTGGAGAAAAATATTATTTTTAAGAAGTGTCTATGGAATTTGATTTATTATGTGATAAATTAAAATTGTTTAGATTAATATCACATGATCGGGATTTTATAAAAGAATATGTTAGTATAATTTTAAATTATATCTTATAAAAAAATTTACAAATTATAAATCAGATTATGCAACAAGTGGCTTAAGCTATATATACTCGAAGGTTAAAATACAATCGGGGTTATTATACCACATCAATAACACAGTTTTATATGTGTGGAAGATGTGCAAGGATTAAAATATTGTCAACCTTCAAAGAATGCTATATTAGCTAGGATTAAAAAAAGGTAACTTAAATTATAATTGATTCTAAATTAATAATATAATGTTATTGCTGCAATTCTTCATCCTTTATTTAAAACTGACTTGCCTTGGATAATGCAAGAAAGGAATTGAGCAAAAAAAGGAAATTTTAAGTTATACTAATACCTCAAAGTGAATCTCAGACATATGAATCCAGTTCGAAACCAACATCATATGAGGTAGTTAGATTTTTTACCTAAAGCACAAAATACTGTTGATAATGAATTTTACAAAATTTTATAAAGTCCAATAATAACACATTATCTTTATATGATAATTTCCCAAATTTAAAATTAATTTTTATTAAATATATTGTTGCTTTTACTCAAGTGCTCTCGTAGAGCGTTTATTCAGTCTTGGGAAGCTCATGAAGAGAAGCGAGAGCGTCTCATAGATAAAAATTTTGAAACAAATTTGTTGTTAAAAACAAATAAACATTTATTAAACTCTAATTTTTATGAAAAATAAATAAATGCTTTTTTTTCAATACAAATATATATATGATATTTTTTATTTTGATATAAATATCAATATATTCTTTTTTCCGATATTTTTGGGTTAATTATTTTTTTATATAAATAAATGCGTTCAGTAAATATAATGCGTTATATGAATGATGTAAAAAGTAACTTATAATGTAACTAGTTACTTTTGAAATATAACTTTAACACTTTGTTTCAAAAGTAACTTTTAAGGGTATATAAAAAGAAAAAAAACAAATCGATTATTTAAATATATATTTACATATTATTTACAATCAATATTATATTTATATAATTATAAAAATATTTTTCATATTTTAATAATAAATATAGTCAATTTGGCTTGAGATAATCGTTTATTTTGCTGAAACCATTTCAGCAATTTTATTATGATTAATATTTATATCACTTTTGTTTCTCACTGATTCAATATAACAAATTTTTCCCATTTATCTAAAAAAATTAATAATATAAAAATTTATATACCGCTTAGATACCACATTTATGAGATAAGTTCCAGAAAATATATTGATTTCTTCTTGTTATCAATATTTTAAATTGTAATGTATTTATAGTAAATATACCATTCGGGAAGAAAAATAAAAGAAATTTAAAAATTAAAAAATGATCAATAATAATTGCCTCATGCCATGTTAAATATATGGCATCTTTCATTGGCACATAACCTATTAATATGTCTAATTTGACAAGTCATGTGGCCTTTGCCAAATCTTCAATCGTTTCATTTTGACAAAACTAGAAAATGGCACGTGGTTTATAAATCATATGTTGCAAAATTATAAATTTGAAGCGTAACCTCATAATTATGGGAAATTTTTTTAGCATATTTCGGAATCTATTTGGATCCAGAGAGATGAGAATATTAATATTAGGATTAGATGGAGCTGGAAAAACTACAATTCTATATAAGCTCCAAGTTGGTGAAGTTGTGATGACTATTCCAACCATTGGTTTTAACGTTGAACAAGTTGTTTATAAAAACATTAAATTTCAAGTTTGGGATCTAGGAGGTCAAACTAGTATAAGACCTTATTGGAGATGCTATTATTCTAATACAGATGCAGTAATTTATGTTGTTGATAGTGCTGACAAAGATCGAATGGGTATATCCAAACAAGAGTTAATTTCTATGTTAGAAGAAGAAGAACTAAAAACTGCTTTATTACTGGTATTGGCTAATAAACAAGACATAGAAGGGGCTCTAAAACCATCAGAAGTTGCAGAAACATTAGGACTCAATAATTTGCGCAACAGGACTTATCAAATTTGTAAAACTTCGGCTGTTAAAGGTGAAGGATTAACTGAAGCAATGGATTGGCTTGTAAATGCTCTTCAAAATGTAAAATAATATAATATACTATGTGTTAATATAAAAATTGCAATTTGTTTTTTTGTAGCATAAATTGTTATACTTATATATTGTTAGGAAACTATTTGCTATTGTATTATTTATATAATTAAATAATATATATATAATTTATTCTCTACATATTATCTAGTGACTTATCTTTATATTTGGTATATTACAATTTTTTATATTTGATAAATCACATCACAGATATTTTTAAATTATGTTATTTATTATTTAAATTAATTTGAATTTTTTAGTTATAATCCAAATAATTTAAATTAATGCTAAATGACAGTATTTTATATTTAGAGAGGTAATATGATAGCTTAATATTTTATAACATTGGATTTAGTTTTATATATAGATAATTATCAATTCAAGTAGGTTAATTTCAAAATAATGAGGCATTTTTTCTTATTGAATTGTTTTATTTTACAATAAAGAAAAATGAGTTCTTTATAAGCATTAATATAATGTTGCTATCTTGTGCTTATTGGTAGTAGGAAATATAGTGTTTAATCCATTATATTATCTTATAACAGGGTTGGGCTAACAGTTAACTACATTTGTAGTTAAACTACAAACTACTTTTTGTATTTTGGTTGATGCTTCTTTTGGGGTTCTTCATTTCTTTATTTTTTTTATGTAATTTTTTATATTAATATCAGATTGGTTCTTTTTCCGATTTGTTAATTTTTTATTTCATATTAAATATATCTTTTTTAGAAATATTTTTTTTAAAAAAAAATTGTAAAATATACTAAATATAAATATTATCACTTCCGAGTTTTTGATTTTTTAACATATTTAGAGCTATAATTCTTAGTTCCGATTATAGAGAATATATATATGTCGTAATTTTTAAAGGGATCTTTATCCGGGATTTCATATGTTTTAAAGGGATAATAAAAAACTAGGTTTTAAGTTAAGGAATGATAATGCAATATTATCTAGTGCTGTAAACATTTCTAAAAAAATCGAGCGCGTTTAACGTTTATTGACAAAATCGAACACGTTTACTTTCAAAAAAAGGAACGCGTTCACGTTCGTTCAAAATTTTATGATAAATTTTTTTTTAAATTTAATTTAAGATAAATAAATGTCTTATATTTTTTAACACAATATATTAGCTATGTTAAAATATAATATAGTTTTATTTTGATTATGTAATTCAAAATACATTATAATATAACGAATAAAAATATATTTTATTTTTAGAAAAATTTTCTTATTAAATTTTAATGACAATTGTTTTTCAAAATTTCCATCAGTCAGGAACACTTGGCAGTTAATTTAATACGGCATTAGCTAAAAACGCGCTCTACAGGGGCAGATGAGGGGATTGCGGTATTATACTTAAACAATTCTTTTAATGTGGAGAATTTATTAAAAACATTTATTGTTTTGTCCTTTGCTTCAAAAAATTGAGATAGGTTATCCTCCTCCAATCCATTCTTTACTTACTCGTCAAAAAAAAGAATATCTGGAAATTAAGTTCTTGCACTATCATTTCTAGGGTTTTGAATGCATTTTTTCAATAACGCTATAACTTTATTTTTTATTGGTTCGTTCTGAGGAAATTTAATCCATGGCTATTGAAGCTCGAATATTGGGTGTATAATTGCAGAAAGAACATATTGATCTATATAATATTTTGATAGTGATAGGTTTAATACTTTTTATTAATCCCATTTAATAATGCGTCTATCAATAGTTCACCATAATTTAGGCCACTAGTTTTTTTATTTTAAAATAACTATCGAAGATCTATTCAACTGAATATAAATCTCTCCCCCTAAATTGGCGAGTCTAGGTCTGCGGGGTCAGGAATATTTTTATCAAAACAAAATATCGATGTGGGTATTAAATAATAGCTAATTTTAATATCATTTGACTGAAAGTCTTCATTCTTAGTCATGATGGGTAGACTTGGTCTAGGTGAGGGGGGGGGAGGTAAAAAATAAAAAATATTGATATGGGATCAAATAAAAGGTAATTAAAATATCTTTTTATTGTAATATTAATTATCACTCTAAGTGGGCGGGTCTAGGTATCAAATGAAAGCATATTTAAATATTTTTTGACTGAAAGCATTCATTCTTGGACTTGATGTGGGGGGGGGGGGGGAGTAAAAATAATTTTTTTGATGGGTATCAAATAAAAGATAATTAAAATATATTTTTTTTTGTATTAATAATAAATACTTAAAGCGAAGGTTTTGGAGGGTTAGGAATATTTTTTATCAACACAAAATATTAAATAAAAAGATCAAATCTATGATCCAAAAATATTGAAGCCAAAATAATCCAAATGGAGGGCGAGAAACTATGGGTTGGATCAATAATTTAACCATTCCTAATAAGACCATCTCCATAATAACATCAAGAAATGCATCTTCTTATCGTAATTGTAAATCAGTTTGCAATTGCCAAAAAAGTTACAACAATAAGAGACGCCAATGTTTTAAAAAATGGCATTAATTGTTTCACAAAATGTCACTTAAATATTATTTGTGTATAATAAATAATTGTTTAAAATTATATTTTAAATTTCAATTATCAAAATCTAATAAAATATGTTTTGATTATATAGCAAAAAATATAATAATAGGGATGATTTGCTTGTAAAAGTGTAATAATTTATAATTGCAATAAGAAAAATTTACGTCATTTTAAAATTTGGGAATCGATGGTTACAAATATAGCTTCCAGAAATTTTGAGATCTAAAATATACATATTATATTAAGTCCCGAGCAAATAATTTTATCATTAGGTTACAATGAGTTTATAAAAAGCATTGACTATATATGACCCCTACTTATAGTGATATTTAATATTGAAGTCTTGTTGAATTTAACTTTTATTTGATACCCATGTTGATGTTTTGTGTCAATAATAAAATTCATGATATCTTAAAGCGTGATAAATTTAATATAATCAAAAGATTTTTTAATTATTTGATATCCATAATTTTTATATAGACCCCCCCCCCTCCCATTCCCAGATTAAGTACAACCCTTTATGATAAGTGTATACTTTCAGTCAAAAGATATTTAAATATTTTATGTTTATAAAAATATTTCAGACCACCCAAGACTCCGCCTAGTTAAGTCTAATTATTACAATCAAGAGATATTTTAATTACCTTTTATTTGGTACCCATATCGTTATTTTGTATGGATAAAAATATACTTGATCCCCCAAGACCTAAACCCGCACACTTAAAGTGATACTTATTATTACAATCAGAAGATATTTTAATTACCTTTTATTTGATACCCATATCAATATTTTATCTAATCTTCTCCCCTTTCACCTCCACCTCCCAAACCAAGTCCAACCCATCAAGACCAATAATAAATACTTCCAGTCAAAAGATATTTAAATTAGCTTTTAGTTGTTACCTACATCGATTTTTGTGTTGATTAAATTATTCCTGACCCCCCAAGACCTAGACCAGCCCGCTTGGTTACTGCCACTCTCGGGAGGTATATTATTATTTCTTTATGTTATTTTTTTATGTTATTTTTTTTTGGTATCCCGTCTTTACAGAGAATCTTTTATAGAGAATGCAAATATAGAGAAACTTTTATAGAGAAAACAATTGTAGAGAATGTCGTTTATAAAGAATATCGTTTATAGAGAATGATTTTATAGAGAATTTATTTTATAGAGAAACTTTTAAAGAGAAAACAATTATAGAGAATGTCGTTTATAGAGAATCTCATTTATAGAGAATGATTTTGTAGAGAATATCGTTTATAGAGAATGATTTTATAGAGAATTTATTTTATAGAGAATTTATTTTATAGAGAAACTTTTAAAGAGAAAACAATTATAGAGAATGTCGTTTATAGAGAATCTCATTTATAGAGAATGATTTTGTAGAGAATTTCGTTTATAGAGAATGATTTTATAGAGAATTTATTTTATAGAGAAACTTTTAAAGAGAAAACAATTATATAGAATGTCGTTTATAGAGAATGATTTTATAGAGAATTTATTTTATAGAGAAACTTTTAAAGAGAAAACAATTATATAGAATGTCGTTTATAGAGAATGATTTTATAGAGAATATTTTACAGAGAATTATTTTATAGAGAATATTTTACAGAGAATTGTTTTAGAGAGAATTATTTTATAGAGAAGGATTTTATAGAGAATAATTTTATAGAATTTTATAGAAAATGAATTAAGTATTATTTTAGAAATAATTTTTCTCAAAAAAAGCCAGATGCCGTCATATAAATTCTCGGAACCCTTGAATAGAAAAAGGGAAAAAATAATCATAAAAAAATTTATTCACGTTCCTGATTTGTATTGCTTATGAATATTATGATAATATTTTTGAGTTTCCTCTTGTTATTTTTTTTAAAATATGCTGAACAATTAGAAGTAGTAATGCTAAAATTATTAAAATGTTTCCTTCTTTATCAGTTTCTATTAGTGCTTTGCTTTAACTAGTAGAGTAGCCATTTAAAAAAAAAACTATTAGCAACAAAGCCAGCCTTACACCAATTGTTTTAGAAAATTTTGTCAATATTTAGTTGCTTTGTGCATTATTTTAATCTGCTTAGCCCGACCCCGATTTTTTAAAAATATATGATATATTTTTAATTTGCCTAGATAATAATGGTGATTTAAAATATTTGGTTTTAAAATATATGGCCCGGCCCGAGTTTTTTCAAAAAAAGCTTTTTTTGACCCGGCCCGTGTATTTAAAAAATAAAATTTTAGGCTCGGCCCGGGTATATTTAAAAAAATTAAAATACTGCCCGGGCTTAAGGTCGGGCCAGGTCTCTGATTTATAGTGGGCTTTTATAATTTCCCTAATAAATCTGATTTTACCAATTTTGAAGAGAATCTACCCTGGGAATTTCATACGATTGCGCCAATATTTTTTTGTATTTAATAATTTTATTTTTTCATTTTAAATCATAAATTGAGCGCGTTTTATTAAATTTTAAATTTGATTTCGCTGAAAATGCATTATAATATGTATAGAATACCCACCCTATAAATTTCAGAAGATCTTATATTGAACCTCTGAAGAAATTTTAATTTACATTAATCTGAAATTTAAGTAATGTTAGTAGCCTAAAAATCAGCTAAACCTAATTTGGCTTAACCGAAAAATCGCCTAAAACTAATTAGACAAAATGTAGGGACTAGGAGCTAGGCTAATCGCCCGTCAGCGTTACGCATCACTAAGCCTAGCCTTTATTAAAATTATTTAATATATTTATTATGTAACGATATATGACGGGCGATTAACCGAGCTCCTTAGCCGATGGCTAATTTTTGAATAATTAGTTCTCGCCTATTTTAATGCTAAGCCTAATTATGCTTAGCCGATTTTTTAACCTAAAAACTTGGCTAACCGTTTTGGAATTGCCTAAATTAACCGATTGCGCAACATTAAGGGTGGGCATTCTACACTTATTCAGGTGCATTTCTGACAAAATCAGATATTTAAATTTAATAAAACGCACTAAATTAATGATTTTAAATGCAAATAATAACAAAAACAAACAATACCCATCAAACTATAGCCTTACCAAAATTAAGTTTAGTTAAAAAATCACTAGAGCTGTCTAATATTCACAGGGTAAGGAAGGAAGACCAGGGGGTGGTTAGATCATTTCTGTCAAAATCGTCAAAGGTCCGAAAATAATTGTATCTGAATTTACAAGATGATAGTTCAAACCCTTACCTAAAAATTATACACCGACAAAATTTAAAATAATACACTTTTTTCTCTAAATTGATTTTAGTAAAATGAAAATTTCTTATTACAAGCCTAAACTCCTTAGCAGTGTAGAGAAAGATGAATCAAATTTTAAAATGTTTTATAGGTTTTTTGCACTTGTTAAACATTCCGAAGATCAGACTTTTAATATTTATAAGAAATTTTTTATTTACATATAGGGATTATATTTATTGATACCAATTTGTTTAAATATGGTTGGTTCACAGACAAACTTGAATTTCATCATATGATTATATGAAGTTTTGTATCATGATATACACTGATT